TTAAGCTGTCTCAAGCAAAGGTCAAAGCCACAGACTCCGTCAGACCACAGTTAAAGAAGATCCTGGAGTCCAAGAAATTCCCTAAGAAGCTCACTAGGAAGGAGAAAGTGACCTGGAAGAGCTTTGTCGCAGTGGTTTGGGGCTTCGTATGTAATCACAAGGCAAAAAACTAGGTGGAGCTGTTTGAAGCCCTTGTGAAGAGTACGGCACAGTGGGTTGCAGGATGTCCCTCAAATGTCCCTGATGCTCATGTTGATAAATTCAAGGAGAGCACTGGAGCGAACTCACAGGAGGGAGGCCCACGCATATGGGCCGGCCGGCCGAGCGGACAGCACGCTGGGCATGTGATCCTATGGTCCCGGGTTCGATCCTTGGCGCCGGCGAGAAACAATGGGCAGAGTTTCTTTCACCCTATGCCCCTGTTACCTAGCAGTAAATAGGTGCCTGGGAGTTAGTCAACTGTCACGGGCTGCTTCCTGGGGTGTGTGTGTGGAAAAAATGTAGTAGTTAAAAACGGTTGATTGACAGTTGAGAGGCGGGGCCGAAAGAGCAGAGCTCAACCCCCGCAAACACAACTAGGTGAATACAGGAGCAAGGTGAGCCCCTCCATCATCACATACTGGACTTGAAACGCCGCTACCAAGAAAACAGAAGAAAAGGAAGGGAAACTACATTTGGGGCTGATTCATGTAAGTAATTTACAGTATACATAAGGGGCATAACTGGCCGACCCCTCACAGTGTTCAAGAGAGAACTGGATAAGCACCTCCAAAGGATACCTGATCAACCAGGCTGTGACTCGTACGTCAGGCTGCGAGCAGCCGCGTCCAACAGCCTGGTTGATCAGTCCGGCAACCAGGAGGCCTGGTCGACGACCGGGCCGCGGGGACGCTAAGCCCCGGAAGCACCTCAAGGTAACCTTAAGGTATACTCATAAATCACCACTTTCAGACCTTTCCTGGTAATTTTTGCTTAACTTTAATATGAATGTGTTAATTTTTATTTATGTGTCATTTTCTCTAAATTTACGTGAACGGAAAGACGCAAATTCGCATGTTTTCTCACTGGAAATAGGACAATTTCAAAATATGAATTTCCTAGTCACAAAAAGCAAAGTCTAAGAGGAATAATAACCATTTTCTATACCTTTACGCAAAAGCAATCAGGATATAACACTACCCAAGGAACAAAAATTTCGTTCAGTGGGATTTAATTAAAGTATCAACTACTAATGACGCTTCCATAACATGAGGCAGGATTTGCCACACGTCTATCTTGAAATGTTATATATATATATATATATATATATATATATATATATATATATATATATATATATATATATATATAAATAAAAAAAAATAAAAAATATATATATATATATATATATATATATATATATATATATATATATATATATATATATATACAATGTACCATACAAGAAGGTACATTGGGTTTGTGAGGATACATAGCATGATGTTTACATTCTTGTACAGCCACTAGTACGCGCAGCGTTTCGGGCTTTCTCATATACTATACGAGAAAAAGTCTTGTTCAGCTTCTGTTTTGTTTTGTCTACTTTTTTGGAGTAAAGAGTACGGAGAGGCATAGGTGAAGGGAAATTTAGAAGTGGGAAATACAGTGAGTTATAAAAGCAGGTAAACTGTCCGCCTTGCTGACACGATGTGTAGGTGTTGGCAGCTGAGCTAAGCTGGCTCTCTCTTGTCAGGGAGCTGTGGGTGTGTGAGAGGTTCTTCACATGTGTTTCACCATATATGGATGTCTATAGATGAATACTGTGTAGCATTCATATATACACACTACGATGCTTCCACATATGTTGTTCTGTTTAAGGCTATTTATTTTATTATTATTGTTTATTGATATATATATGTGTACGTATACATATTCACATATACACACACATACATATATACACATACATATATACATACATACAAATATATTCACACATACACATACACATTATATATATATACGCAGTTTTTTCAAGTATTGGGGGGAGGGATTACTGGTCAGTATATCATCTGGGAATTATGTACTATAGGGCTGGGTTTTCATCTAATAAGTCAAGGCTCTTGGGCCACCAGTTGAGGGAGCGGGGCGTCTCATCTTGGAGTAATCTATCTAACATTGGGTCCTCTAACATTCCGATGATGTTCCAAACTCTGATGGCTTGGTGCTGTAGTCTGATGTTTAGTGGCTGTATGTTCAGTTCATGGAGCTCCTGGATTGTCTGATCATATGGTGGACGGTGTTTTGCTGCTCTCCTTAGTGCCTTATTTTGCACTGCTTGCAATTTCTGCATGTTAGTTTTCTTTAAGGTGTGTAGTGGTACTGGAGGATACTCTAGATGCGGCCGAACTAGAGCCTTATATAGGTGTACCTGAATGTTCGTACTGAGGCTTCTTTGGCTGCTTTGGGTTTGTTTAGTCGGTCCCATACGTGAATTTTTATCCCTGTTCTATTGATCATGAGCCTCAGTATTCTGCCTACCTCTGCATATTGGATCGGACGGTTGTCAAGGATAATGGAGGTCTGGGTTTCTTTTTGCAATGTGTATTATCTGCTGCCACCGTGTTGCTGGGGGTGGCCTATTTGTGTAAGATATTGTCCTAGGTATATTGGGGGTTGCCAAAGGCCAGTTGTGCTCTGTTGCCATTGAACCCCGCTATTTGCGCCGCCGTCACAGTTGAATGTGGAAATCCCAGTTAATGTTAGTCCGACCCTTGGAAAATAAAGTTAACATCTTTACACATACACAATAATCATAATCATAATCTTAGCTGCTGAGTGGACAGCACTCTGGGGTCGTAGTCCTAAGGGCCCGGGTTCGATTCCCGACCGAGGCAGAAACAAATGGGCAGTTTCTTTCACCCTGATGCCCATGTTTACCTAGCAGAAAATAGGTACCTGGGAGTTAGACAGCTGCAACAGACTGCTTCCTGGGGATGTGTGTGTGTATTCACCTTGTTGTGCTTGCGGGGGTTGAGCTCTGCTTTTTCGGCCCGCCTCTCAACTGTCAATCAACTGTTTCTACCACTTACTTTTTCACACCGCACACACACGCACACCCCAGAAAGCTGCCCGTGACAGCTGACTAACTCACAGGTACCTATTTACTGCTAGATAACTGGGGCATAGGGTGAAAGAAACTCTGCCCATCGTTTCTCGCCGGCGCCCGGGATCGAACCTGAGACCACAGGATCACGTGTCAAGCGTGCTGTCCGCTCGGCCACCGGCTCCTGTGTACTCACCTAGTTGTGCTTGCGGGGGTTGAGCTCTGGCTCTTTGGTCCCGCCTCTCAACTGTCAATCAACAGGTGTACAGGTTCCTGAGCCTATTGGGCTCTATCATATCTACACTTGAAACTGTGTATGGAGTCAGCCTCCACCACATCACTTCCTAATGCATTCCATTTGTCAACCACTCTGACACTAAAAAAGTTCTTTCTAATATCTATCTAATATCTGTGTGTGTGTGTGTGTGTGTGTGTGTGTGTGTGTGTGTGTGTGTGTGTGTATATGTGTGTGTGTGTGTGTGTGTGTGTGCGCGCGCGCGCGTGTGTGTGCGCCTGTGTGTATGTGTGTGTGTGTGTGTGTGTTAGAGAGAAATATACAGGGAAAACATAGATTGGTTAGAAAGCGGGATCCTAGAGCTAATAGCTCGATTCTGCAGGTACAAATAGTAAATACAATTTTACACAAAAAATATCATTCCACCACAGCGGCATAAGTTTCCCGTCCATCCATCCATCAATCGTCATCTATATCCCCTCCCTCATTCCCTTTGGCACTTCACTACCAAATCTCACCATTGTCATCCCACAGGCATCCAGTCCACTACTACTCCCCCACTTACACCCTCCCCGCCATCACCACTGACTACCCATACTAATGGAGTGTCAGCACAGTATACGAGCTCTAAGCAAAGTACTGGAGATAGTAGAGTACTGGAGTACTCACATGACAGCAATTGTAAAGACTAAATTAACGGGCAAGATCACCAATACAATATTCCCAGGAAATATCAGTGAATGCGAAAAGAGGAGGAGGAAGAAGGCCCCTATTGGTCGAGGGAATATGCACTTAAAAAGTATTTATCTAGAGGCAGAGGAGCAGAAAAATTCCATGGAAGATGTACTGTTTTCGGCAGTATATATACTAAAAATTCAGTGTGCACAAAAAGAAGTAAATCGCAATGTATACAATAGTATATGTATACATGTATCACATGTATACACATGCACTAATTAAAAGAGATATGAGAATGACAAGTTACCAACGCTCCATTGCGAGAAAGATGTCTGTGAATGACCAGGTGATTGTGTTCTACTTTTGAAGTACAGGATTTAAAAAAAAATACAATATGCAAAGTACTTAGTCAAATTTGTTAGGAAGTGTTAAAGTTGCAACCCAATCTGACACTTAAGAGTCCAGGAAGAGCTTCTAGACGACTGTTGGGGGAAAAAACAAGTTATGTAACGATAAATAACTTTCCAATATAAAAGGAAAGAAGAGGAATGCTGTACGACTAATTTCTCCTGGAATTCTCATAGTTTTAGAAATCTATTATTACCAGAAGCCTCAAAATATACGCCTTAGTCTCTTCTTATCCAGCAACAACTTGCATTCCAATTACCCGGAGCATCCTGTGAGCGTGTGGCTCAGCCTTCCTGGAGCATCCTGTGAGCGTGGATTCCAGGACACCTGGAGCATCCTATATGAGCGTGTGGCCCAGCCTTCCTGGAGCATCCAGTGAGCATGGATTCCAGGACACCTAGAGCATCCTATATGAGCGTGGAACCCTGCTTACCTGGAGCATCCAGTAAACGTTTTGCCCAGCCTACCCGGAGCATCCAGTGAGCGTGGGTTCCAGGACACCTGGAGCATCCTACATGAGCGTGGAAGCCAGCCTACCTGGAGCATCCTGTGGGCGGGGAAGCCAGCCTACCTGGAACAAACAGTGCTACCTACCTCGGACAAATTCGGCCTCGATTTGATCTCATCCAAGAGGTTTTTGGCGTGTACGGGAGAGTAGAGAAGGATAAGTATGCCTAATAGAAGCAAGTGCTTGTTCATGTTGGCTGGCGAGTTGATTCAGCAGGAGTGAAGGAGAGTTCAGCGAGGCTCAGGGTGTCTCACCACAAGCGTCTCATCACACACTGCGCTCCTCACCCCGCCCCGGCCCCTCCTTGCCTCCCTCATGCCATCGCTCGCCATACCTCACATCTCCCTCCACTTTCTCTGCACACAGCTCTATCACTGTCACATAATTGGCATCTTCGCCTCTAAATATATCCAAAATAAATCGGCGAAAAATACTGTAAGTATAATAGATGCAAAACCAGTCATTCCAGCCAAAATTTAAGGTCGTGACGTCATCGTAGAGTGACGTCATAGACTTTAGCCAATAACACCCTTAGGTAACTGCTGTCATTCTGACGTCATACTGATCTTCATAGAAAATGGATTTTGTTAACGGGTAAACTAGTATATATGACACTTAATCATCAACGAATAATTTATATACACACATATATAAACCCTTTCCAATGCCTGGATTGTCACTATATAGGGGTCTTGCCCAGGTCTTTCAAAATTTTGCCAATTTGTTTATATAAACCTTGAAATACCAGCAAATCCTAGGTATTATTATTATTATTATTATTATTATTATTATTATTATTATTATAATCTAGGTGGATTATATGCTTAAGAGTGGGTTATTTAGGGCCACTGACACTATAATGGCCTCGATGAGGATAGGAAGCCGGTGGCTTGTCGAATTAAGGTCCCTCCAATTGCCTTGATAATCTTTTCCAGTTTGATTTTGAAATTCAAGTCTTGGCATTTACATCTTCGGCGGGTAGGCAGTTCCAAGGGTTTATAACCTTGTGGGTGAAAAGTATCTCCTGCACTCATTCCTACATTGTTGCTTGACCGTATTTTCCTGTTTTACCACGGAAATAAGGCCCCTGTTACCAGTATAAGTGTCCAGCGGTATTTCCCAGAAGTTACCAAGTTACGCCTAAAGACCGTACGATCTTAGTAGTGTTCTACGTGTGGCAGTAAGAGGATCACTTTTTAAGTGAATGTGAATCCTATATGAGTGACTTGAATCAGTGCCTGAACCGAAACTTACCAACTAGTGATGTAAAATACATGGAATAGAATATAATACGACATTTTCAGCTTAGTGAGTGAAATAATAAATGAGACTGACGAGACAATAGCTGTGAAAAAGTTGGAAAACGGCCAATAGTAGTGACTAAGCATCTAAAGAGAAACTTAACAGCATCAACAACACTTGTTGTACACTTGAATCAGGTAAATTCGGGTAAACAGTGGGTGTCAACGAGTTTTGTTGTTGATTTAGGGGGCGACGACGACCGAGGGATCGGGTGGGCCCCCAACAACTGAAGTATGGACTCCATGAACCACTATACGTCCGTGAAACGACAAAGAAGCTCCACTCAGGTACGTAACACTTTGTACGTATACAATTATGTTCAGTTTATGCCGATATCAAACACAGTTGCAAGTATACAGCTAAAATAACAGTAACTATTCCGTTCTGGCGTTTCGCGAACGCTTTGTCCCGGGTTCGTATCCTGGGGCCGGATTCACGAAGCAGTAACGCAATTACTTACGAACGTGTACATCTTTCCTAAATCTTTGACGGCTTTGATACAGTGAAAGTGAAATAAAACTCAAGTGTATTAATATTCATTCATATATTACAAAAAATTGGACAGCTACAGTGTTTGGGCAACAATAACAAATGATTTATACTGTACACGTAAGAAAAGCAACTTTTTTCTTCTATAAAAACAATAATATACAACATATGATACAATATTCACCAAATAGGTACAATTTTAGTTTCTTTAAGAATTTAGTTACAGTATATGCTTTTAGAGACCATCTTTCAGAATATTTTGTTATGGGTCAGCATTACTTTTTTGAGAAACTGTCAATGTCAAGTATGTGACACTGGCAGCAGAACAGCATAAAATACATAATAGAGTGATCTTATATGTATATTGTTAAAATTAATATAAACCGTAAAAAAAAGTATCAAAGATACTTTCAAATAGTATGAAAGTTTTGTCTAGTTGAGCATAACTTATCTTTTATACAATAACAAATCTAAATGTAAATGAATGAATGATAGACATGCAGATGTGGGACTGCTCTTCACCTCCTGAGCAGCAAAGATATTTTAACAATCTTATAATGTTTAATCATATACAGTACTGTATTCATGATATGTTCATTACACTATACAGTATATGTAGATTGAACAATATATTCATGAACAAAGTGCTACATAGCATGCTAGTTGTCTACTGAAGAATGTCTTGTGGACACACTAATGATGCAATCACAATCAATTTTACTTTATAGATTAACATATAAATCACACCTACAAAACAACTTTGCATAGTTGTTTATATACAATAGTTCAAAAGTGAAGAATTTCTATTCTAATAAAAAAAAAATATAGGGATCATTCTGATTATAAGTTCCTCCACTAATGTTTTTATACTATGGAAACTATGAAAGGAAGCGGCAGGAGTCAGCACCAGAGAGTCTTCATTTTTGTAGTGGCCATAACACAGATAATTGAGCTTTCATTATACCATTAGTCTAAACTATTACAAAACGCTTCCTTTGTGCTGGATATTTTCCTAAAGTGCAACAAACTGTAATGAAATGCTTTCTATTTTACAAGCTGAATGGGAAAAATAGAGTAAGCATATAAGGTCAAGTAGCATCAGCATATTGGAAAGAACATGGACACATAATATAAAGCATGTTACTGCAATTTAATTCATATACAGTATTGTATACAGTTTACGTTTTAAAACGGAAAACTTTTAATTTGGATCCTTTCAAAACAGCTTCATAGAAACTTCCACAATATACAGTAATATATAATTAAATATACTGTATACTATATAATTAAATAATTATAATATATACACACATACAAAATGTTTTCATGCAATGTCCATGGTCTTCACCCTTTTAACAATTTGGCGTCCTGATGATGCTCTCGGCATCGTAAAAACTATACACGCAGAGTGGGGGATGATGCTCTCAGCGTCATTAATTAATTTTTGCTTATTCTTATTATTAAGTATAAATATTGTGAGTGAAAGAGTTGAACATTGGGTTGTGTGCTCACCTGTAATGCATAGCCTACCTTCTGGTGCAATGTGGGTGGCCTGCCGGGCATGCGAAAGTGTTTACGTACTTATCATCATATGTTGATCCCCTGGGTAATGCAGTTACAAATACAGTACAGTACATGTTTAGTTATCATCTGGTTTTTATATAAATAATGTAAATACTGTATGGTTATAATACATCTTGTATATGGATGTCATGGAATTAGTAGAATTTTTTTAAGCATCTAAGCTATCGTGTTTTTATTGCTTACTATCGATAAGGTTATAGTGTACATTGCCAGTAGTCATGTGATTACACAATTTGGTGTTTTCCATAGGTCCTTGAGCCAATTATGGGCTTCCATAACATTTTCCACTGCTACCCACTGGATAGGTATGTGGTGCATAATAAATGAACTAAAATAACCCACTTGTGTTTGAATGTACTGCATTTCTGGATGATATAACCAGACAGAATAGCAGCAAAGAAGTGGGTTGAATGACATTTCCTGTGAGTTGTGCCAGGAACAGATTTACGATGCAATATAGGTGTACTGTACATATTACAGTGTAGGCCTATATGGAGTACTGTACTGAATCACTTTATTTAAATTATATGTATGTATTGAATTATTCCACACATTGCGTAAACTAAAGTGAAACAGCACACATATAAACCATCTAACACGATCATCACAGAAACATAAAACTATTTGATTGCAACATAAAATATATTAGAAGCTATTTTATAACTGATTACAAGACTTTATCTTGAAAAATCTGATTGAATCTAAGTTAAGAAAAATCTCAGATGCAATATTTAACAAACCTATTTTTACACAATAAATACAAAATGTGTTACTAGTTGTATACAGGTGTCATTACTGTATAAAACACTACTGTATTTATACAAATTTTAAAAAATTAGCTATCATGTAATTTTGCAGGAAGTTCATCAAAATACTGGTTGAAAGTATACAACTATATTGACATGTAAGATAAATGAAGAGTATCTTACTTCCTATATAAACCTTGTCACTACTAGGAAACAGATGATACACTCTGTGCTGCCTTTATTCCTGGCAATTGTCAATAAAACTATAATAAATTTCAATTTCTTGCAAGTGAAATTTCACATTTAAAAAAAAATGTTTGTTTTAAATTACCAACATAATGATATGAACAGTTATACACTAATCAATCATATGTGTTACAAATTTCTAATTCATTGTTCAACGGTCTTAAGTACAGTACATACTGTATATTGTACTGCATTTTCCTCAATCTGGTAATACTGATTTTTATGCAGAAAACTTTGTCATAAATTTCTCTTACCATGTTAAAATCATTCAGCAACATTTTAAATTTGTAATAAATGCATAACATTTTGTCACATATTTGTAAGGCAAAAATCCCACAAGACAAAAGCATCAATAAGGTGGACCATTATGAGATATGAGAACGATATGTACAACATTATGAAAACTTGGTATGTACAACAATTGTTTACAATTTAGATGATCTTATCAATCATCTTGAATGTATTTTAGGAGAACTAATACTTGAAATTAGTTTTTTTTAAGAAAAAAAGCTGGTGTAAGAATGTGGTATGAATGAGAAGGAGGTGAGGGAATAAAACATGGAGCCGATAAAATAAAATACACTGAGGTGATACGAAAGTGTTAGTAGAATGACTGCAAAATATTTTACAAGTGTGTACAAGGAAAAAATAAAGGGATCATCTGGTAGAAGAAGATAAACAGTATCTTAGAAGTGAAGATTGGAACAATATATGAATGACAGAGTGGGAGTTGCAGTTGGAGAACTTGAAAGAGTGAAAGGTTTGTTTGATTATAAAGCCCCTGGTTAAAACTTCTACTATGGCCTTGGAGGCTACCAGGAGAGAGTAAGGCATGGGGCTGTAGATTGATATATAAAATTATACACAACTGTTTTATCATTATATTGCAATAAGTTCCAAATTTAGTTGTAATATTAAGCAATGACAGATGTTTTTAAATTAGGTTCATGTTGCCATTATGGTACTGTTAAATACTAAATTAATGTATTAATGTAGGAAATAAATTAGCTTACAACTAAATCAATGATATACTACTTAATAAAGAGGACAGAACTAGTCTTTATACAATAAACAGGCTCTTGACAATTTGGCCCTATTTTCATATTATAAAAGTAATTTCATATACATACAGCATCAACAAACTTGTTCAGAATAATAATGCAATACATACATAACTGATTAACTTTACAGAGAATAAGTCATAATAACATGCCTGAAAAAAATAACCCAACCTCCACATAAAAAGAAAGGAAAGTGGCAATATTTTGGCCCATCCTTCTCTGCTTGCTTTGTTTACTTTCAACCTTCATGCAGGAAGCTGCATTTAGATGTTTTTTAAACTTTACAGTACTTTTTCCTTTTACACCTCGCCTCTTCTCCCTCCTTACCTACTCTCTGGTCTTATAATGGCTTCTTTTCCTGTACGTCTTGGACACACATACATCTGTATATGTATGGCTTGATATGGGTCCAGGTCAGGCATAAATGTCATCACTTTTTTTTCATACGTGTGGGTTGCGTTATTTTGTTAACTTTGATATGAACCTTACTGAAAACTCTTGGATGACTTCATAAAAACCCAATTTCTTATTACAAAAAAAAAAGAATATTTGTTAGTACACTACTGTATTATGAACATAAATTTGTAAATATTCTTCAGTGGGATGTAAGAGAATCTTTAAATTGAATGCAAATTTGTCAATAAATACACAGTAATTTACTTAATCAATTTAAAAATATGAATGACTTAATAATTTTAGGTCATTTGTTTTTAGTATTATACTGTATTAAGAAATTATAGGTTTCATGAACTACATTCATAAATGGTAACATTTCCATATTGAAGATAAAAAAAAAAAAAATACTAGGCATGATTAAAAGCATGGTTACCTTCTCTCAAATGGATTAATTAAAAAATACATGAAATCTTGCACCTACGGTGTTGTACACATGCTCCCTTCCAACCATTGAGGAACTACAGAACATAACAGTTTACTGCTTCATAAAATAACACAAGATCTCTTGGCAGTACAACAGCCATTTAGATGATAATCTTCCAATCCTTAGTAGAATTAATAAATAACTGAAAATGAGAAACTGCTACCTGTTGCATTACAAATTTAAATAAAATTAGTAGTGCACAACCCTTCATATCTGCTTAAGTATTCCTATCAAAATACAATGTTTTTATTAACATTTAAATAATTTTCCCTAAGAGGAACTAATGAAAATATGTCAAGATCTGAAGAAATGTGCAAGACATCTTGGAAATATTTTCAATACAAAATAGTAGCACACATTTAGCACCAGAGATAGACCTTTCTACACCTTATGCAATGTTAAACATGATCACAGACACAGCAGAATGTACAATACAGGTGTTAAATCTTACATAATAATGATCAGTTTTATATGTAGGGATTGGTAGTTTCGTTGATTGACCCCAAGCAAAATTTGTCTATATACAGTACACCATTGCAATGGGAATAATATTGATAAAGACATACAAGAGGACTTGTAGTTTGGCAGTAACACGCCTTATTGTGTGCAGCTCTGTTCTGAAGCTATGTTAGCCACACTAAACGTGGTTAACATTTTACTATGAAAGATTTTTATTTACATTGCACTGAATACAATGGCATGATGTATGATCAAAAGGTATATAATATTAATATACTGTATAATGTTATATACTTTGTAAAAATTTTAGAACAAGGAGCTATAAGGAAAACTTCACTGCATGCAAATCTGTGAATCGAAGGTAATATTGCCTTATAATTTACATATGGATTTGTTTATAAAATTTAAAACACTTAGTATGAATAATGAAAACAGTAATTTTGTTTAATATACATGTTGTTTTCTTTGAAAAATACCATTGAAATGTTGATAAATACTGATTCAAATACATGTTCACTCGCTCATTTATGTTAGCTTGATCATACCAAACATGTTCTTAATATACTTTATATAGGTAATTCAAATTTAACTAAAAAAAAATCCAGTTCTGATGAAAATGTCTATAAAAAAAATGATGTTAAATCATTATTCTTCATGTTTTTCAATAAATTACAGTGGAACCCGGTACTCAATTTTTAAATCCCCAAGACCAAGAAGGATGTGTATTGCTGTGTCCATTGCATTCATAAGATGAGCTTAAGGTACACAATTAGACATATCACAATGATAGTAAAACTCTCAAGTGTTTTCTATCATTCAAGATTCACACAACAAATCTGCTTAAGACAACCAATGGCAATTATGTCAAGATGACACGAATACTGACATGCCACATAAGCAGTCTTTCAGAAAACTCGATAACTTTTTGAACAACTTTATTAAATGACAACTGTAGACTACTGTACTTGGTAATAAGCAACTGGTAATCATTTATTGTATTACATTCTCTATATTCATAATGATCTTGAAAATGTCAGACTAATGCCCAGAGTTTGGAAAAATGTTTGGTGGGGACAAATTCTCCTCTTCTGATAACTCGATATCAGAAAAGGATGCAGTGTCAGATGAGCTTGAAACAGTAGGTGATGGTGGCGATGTTGATGACACATTACTATGAGATGATATGCTATCATTAGACATATCATTTGATAAGGTCAAAGAAGTCGAATTCATGTTCACATCAGCAGGGTGGGTGGAGACTGACATGATGCGCTGTGAGCCCGGGACAACAACCTGCAACACAAATCACCTAATAATTTTTTATTTGAAAACTTCCTTCAGAATTGCTCGAACTGTTCCAAAAATGTTATAAACATCTTGTTTTTTCATATTGAAAGTTTATGAATTCCTTTATACAGTGGTACCTCCATTTTTTAATTTAATCCATTCCCAAAGATGGTTCGAAAACCGAAACAAATTTTCCCGTAAGAAATAATGTAAATTGAATTAGTGTACTGTAATTCAATGCACACCCTTAAAGATATTAACTTAAAAATACATTTTACACATACTACTACTAATATTTTGTACTACAACATGTACAAGTATATCTTACCTTTATTGAGGACTCTTGTTGATGTATGGTAGACAGCGAGGAAAGGAGGAGAAGAGGTGTTAGTGTTTGGATGGGAATCCCCTTCCATTTAACAGCAGTGATGACATTTCTGGGGTACTCTCTCTTATGTTATACAGGTATATCACTAGGACCTGGTTGTGGCTCACTGCTTGCTTGTCTTACTAAGAATCTGTCTATAGACACTTGTTTTTCCCTTCATTTTAACACTTGTCTGTAGTGAGACATCACATTGTTTCACTATGAATGATCTCTTGTTTTTTCTGTCATCATCCTCACAAATATTTTCTTAGGTTGTGAGTAGATTCACAGGTTCAACCTATGAAAATAGTTGTGAGTAAAGGCAGTATAGGATGTCCCTTCCTCATTAAGAAAATGTGTGCTGTATGGAAAGAACTGCAAAGTTTTGCTGAAAAACTCGCCCAGATAAAGCTATAGCAGGCCGCTGCTATGCCATTGCATTAACCTTTTTAATGACAATTTAATGTCTTACTACAGACAAGTGCAAAAATGTAGGGAAAAACATGTGTCTTTAGACAGATTCTTAGTAAGACAAGCAAACAGTGAGCCACAACCAGGTCCTAATGGAATGCCTGCAAAGCAGAGGAGAGAGTACCCCAGAAATGGCATCACTGCCTTATGTTATAATGAAAGGGGATTTTCCTTCCAAAAACTAACATCTCTCCTCCTCTTCCCCTCCTCACCGTCTTTCATATGCTAACAAGTGTCCTCAATAAAGATAAGGTACCTATATAGTAAAAATAATGAGTAGTATGTATTCTGTATAAAATGTATTTTAAAGGTAATATTTTTGGGTGTGTGGGACAGATTATTTCAATTTACATTATTTCTTATGGGAAATTTTTTTGTGTACAACCTGTCTCTTGGAACAAATTAAATTTGTAAACCAAGGGTCCACTGTACAGGCTTCCTGTTACTGACAACAGGAATTATATACCTAATTTATCACTTTATCTATGTTAAATAGTTTGTAATTATCCACTGTAAAAGTATGAATGTATTTACATCAAATTTTGTACACAATCCACTCTACTTGTAAAAAAAAAAAATTGCCATTCTGAACAGGTATTTCAACCCTATTAATCATAAAAGTTTAAAATTTTAAATTCTTTCTGTACTGTAAATGATTTGACTACAGATTTAAGTTATCTCAACTCTTTAAGGTATCTTGACAGATTTGATAATTATCAAGATTTTTCATTATACAGTATGTACAGTACAGGAATTGACATACATATATGAAATCACACATACCTCATATAACTGAACGCCAGAGTGAATATTATCAAGTATATGTCTGTTTTCTGGATTTGAGAGAACGGACAAAACAAATGATCTTGTTTCCTTTTGTAGATTCTCAATTTCTCGTTGTAGTTTTTGATTTTTTCGTAACAATTCTGCAGTCTTCATAGTAATATCCAACAAACCAGACTGTCTCAAAGCCTGTTGGGGAAGGAATGAAGAATAAGAGACAGACAGGCATACATAAAATATTAGTTATTGAATGAGCCTCTGACACTAGTAAATAGATTGAGCAAAAACAATCAACACAAAGATGGCTCTATACCTGATCTTTTTTTATGGTGTGTGTGACTTTAAACTTTCAAATGTCATGACATTAATTCTAATCTATCGCACAACATATTTGCACTGAAACAATGGTAAGTAAAATAATGTGCAAACCTCAGCTGTTCTCATGAACCGTCTTCGTCTCGAGGCACAGGATTCCTTAATGCTAGTTGTGGTTTCAGTATCTGTATCTGGTAACACACGACTCCCTAAGCACATTCTTTTTGCTATTTCGTCTTGCTCTGAGTCAGAGCTGGAATCTGATAATGGAGCATGGGCAGTTTTCCTTTTTTCTGGGCTTCTGGAATCCTGAGGTATCTCAGGGTTACGTGGAGATGGGCAGTTTGGGAACAGCTCGGAAAAATGCCTCTTGATGCCATGCTGCAAAGAAATAGTAGATAGTTGGGAAACGTACAGGAAAAAATTACAGTATATGCAAAACATTGTAAAACATTGTGAAACATTGTAAAATATTTTAGGAGCTATTGCAGACAAACTTCTTAGATACACTATATTTAATATGGATAGTAATATCTACATACATTTTAACTAGCACACTATGCTAATTAAGTGTGCTAGTTAATGCAGTGTGGTGCATTAAAACTAACATGATTGCTAATACAGTACTGTATCTCAGTTATTTTCTAATTAGCCTTATGTATTTTTCTAACCATTTTTGAGGATACAGAAACCAATGAATTATGACTTGTTTCCAGGCTAGGATAATAGCTCACACTGCCACAGCTCATCTAATACCTTACGGTAACACTACTGTATGTACTATACATGTACTGTATTTGAAATTATTTACTCTGGCTTGATATAGGAGTTATAATTACAAGAGAGAGCAAGAGGCCAACTGGGTGTAGTAATGAGTCAACTACAAGGTACCAGCCCCAGCTGTGTTTTGTGGTCAGAGGGAAAATGAGAAGTGCTGACTTGTGTCCAAGGCCACCTGCATATTTAGGGGACTTACTTATCAGTGTTTATGAGCGAGTGAATTTGAGCTTTTTATGCCCCGCCTACTAGCCTTGTTGTATCTACAGTATTGCATTATAATTTAACTATTCTGACATTCAAATGCATTATCGAATCTGGTCTTAAAGTTGTGGATGGAAAATAAAGAACCACACAGAGGGACAGAAACATGGAGAGCTAAACTATTAGACGTGGTGACATTAAACTTTCTATGCCAACATGTCAAGGGGCCCACAAGAATGAGAGGAATTGATGACCCAGCAAGACTTGATCTGATATTCACCCTGAACGAGTCAGACATGAGAGAAGTCAAAGCAGAACCCCCCCCCCCATAGGCATGAGTGACCACAGTGTCCTAACATTTGAGTACTGTATCTGATGGAAGTAGGATTAACCCATCCAAGGAATGGGCCAAAAAGTAACAGGCTAGAATACTGAGGGGGAACTATGATGAGATTAGAAAATTTCTAACAGGGATACCATGAGAGACAGAATTCGGTGGAAAGTCTGTACAAAGCATGATGGACTACATCAAGAAGTGTCATAAGGCAGAAAAACAGGTTTATCGCGGCCCAGAAAGAAAAAAAGAAAAAAGTAAACGGGGAATCTGTGGTTCACTCAGGCATGTACGGAAACGAGGCAGTTAAGCACAAGGAGATGGAGAAACTACAGAAATATCAGGACACCAGAAAGCAGAGAGAGATACCAGAGGGCCAGAAATGGGTACCTCAGTGTGAGGAGAGAAGCAGAGAGGCAGTTTGAAAGTGACATAGCAAATAAAGCCAAGACCCAACCAAAACTGCTATACAGTCATATCAGGAGGGAAAACAACAGTGAAAGAACAGGCGATGAAACTAAAAAAGGGAGAGGATGGGTACACAGATAATGACAAAGAGGTGCATGAAGAACTCAACAAGAGATTCCAGGAGGTCTTCATAATAGAGCAAAAGGAAGTTCCTGAACTAAGAAGAGTGGCAATAAACCAAGCAGACTTGGAAAATATTAAAATGACCAGAGATGAAATTATGAGGTATCTGCTTGATCTAGAAGTAACTAAGGCTGTTGGACCTGATGGAATCTCACCATGGATGCTAAAAGAGGGGGCAGAAGCACTTTGCATGCCACTATCTTTAGTCTATAACAAGTCACTGGAAACATGAGACCTACCAGAGAGCTGGAAGACAGCTAATGTAGTCCCAATCCACAAAAAAGGAGGGGATAGGCAGGAGGCCCTAAACTACAGGCTGGTGTCCTTAACTTATATACCATACAGGGTGATAGAAAAGATCACAAGAAAAAGCCTGGTAGTACATGTGGAGAGAAAGGACTTTGTAACATGTCACCAGCATGGGTTCCCGGAAGGCAAGTCGTGTCTCACAGGTTTAATATAATTCTATGACCAAGCAACCAGCATTAAGCAAGAAAGAGAAGGATGGGCAGAGCATTTTCTAGGACTCAGGAAGCTTTTGACACACTACCCCATACGATATTGTTGTGTAGGCTGGAAGGAAAGGGAACTATCAGGAGAGAGTGCCAAGCCATTACGACTATATAGCGCTGGGATGAGGTCAGGATAACGAACTGGAATAGGATGGGGGGGGGGGGAAGGAATGGTGCCCAACCACTTGGACTGTCGGGGATTGAATGTCGACCTGCATGACATGAGACCGTCGCTCTACCGTCCACCCCAAGTGGTTGGATGCTCCAAAAAGTCGCGGTAGTAGTCGGGTTCATGCTCGACACACAATCGAGAATTTCAGGTTTGAATTCCGTGTGGGGACAGAAATGGTTGGGCAAAGTTCATCTCGCCTAATGCCACTGTTCACGTAGCTTTGAGTAAGTATTCAGGAGTTAGTCAGCCTGTTGTGGGGTTGCAGCCTGGGCGGGGTCAGTAATTCGGCCAGAGGGGGGAGGGAGGGCGGGGGGACCTTAATAAAAACCAAACGTTTTTGAATACACTCTGACTTCCTGTCCACCGACATTAATATCACACCAAATTGGATGGGGGATTGATATCACACCAAACCTGTCCCCTGAAGCCCACATAAAAAGGATAACATCAGCGGCATATGCAAGGCTGGTGAACATTAGAATTGCCTTCAGAAACTTGTGTAAGGATCATTCAGAACCTTGTATACCTCATATGTCGGACCAATACTGGAATATGCGGCTCCAGCGTGGAGTCCATTCTATAGTCAAACACAAAACGAAATTGGAAAATGTTCAGAGGTATGCCACCAGGCTAGTCTCTTCGCTGAGAGGAATGAGGTATGAGGAAAGATTACTGGAGCTGAACTTCACGACACTGGAAGACAGACGAATTAAGGGAAACATGATTACTACCTACAAAATTATCATCAATCGACAGGGTAGATAAAGATAAACTGTTTAACACGGCTGGTACGCAAACAAGGGGACACAGATGGAAACCGAGTACCCAAATGAGCCACAGGGACGTTAGAAAAAACTTTGTCAGTGTCAGAGTACTTAACAGATGGAATGCATTAGGTAGTGATGTGGTGGAGGCAGCCTCCATACACAGTTTAAAATGTAGATATAATAAGAGCCCAGTAGGCTTTTGGAATCTAGACACCAGTTGATTGACAGTTGAGAGGCGGGACCAAAGAGCCAGAGCTCAACCACAACTAGGTGAGTACACACACACACAGGCTGCCTGTCCCCGACAAAACTAATTATTGTTAATTTAAGATTACAATGTATTAAATGTACACTTCACCACGTGTTAGCAAAATATATCCAACATTAATTCACCGTCACCCTAAAATAAAATATACTTAACCACACCGCGACAGTCCGCGCACTCAATGAACATCACTACATATTTTACAATTAAGTAGATAATAACCGGAAAGTAACAAAGCCGCTCTCAGCAATTACTGAATATATACCAGTGTAGGAGACCTTCAGCGACCCGCAGATAAGGACAATCTGATCATGTAATGTCTTCAAACAGTAATCATACATTGACTGGCCTGATAATCACACTAACTATACGGGTAGAGACGCTCCCTCCTTTCGTAACTTTCAGGCCACATTCGAAGAAGAATTCGAACGTCAAGAAAGTTAAATTATAATGCAACAGATGCAAGGGGTAGTGGCGGGGCACACAAGAGGTACTGGGCAAAACCTGCCACCTTCCACGGGACCTACAACTGGATGAATCACTTGTAATTTGCTTCAGAACCAAGCCCTGTTATTTTAGGAGTAACCAAACGCTTCACGATACACACACAGGGTTCATGCAACAAGTGAGTGTAAGTGATGGTGGCGCCGGGTGGGATTACCTTGCTGGCGACGGGGTGGACGTCACAGAGGCTGGTGGAGTATACATCAACTGTTTCATGTACTCCCACACCCATCCTGGAGGCCTGGGGCAGCTTGGTCATCACCTCCTTCCTCGCCTCTTATCAGTAGTCGGGCCTCTTTTAGCCTGGTGAATCTTCCCAAGGTGCTTGTCACTCACCAATTAATCGAATTTATCATTGTAGCATGTAATATACATTAATGATGAATAATTCTTCCTATTCATACACAGCCTTCAATATTTATTTTCACTATAATTGCTAAGGTAAGTCGGTATGTAGAAATTAGATTTTTCTACAATATATCTAGATATTATATGCTAGTTTACCCATTGACTTTATTCAACAAATGTTCACTGTCAAAAATATTTTCTTTAAAAGTTATTCGTATATTTTATATACTGTTATTTAAAGGCAAGAATTATTTGCATCACCTGTTGATTATACAATATTCGCTGGCAAGTAACTTCTCTAACAACATCCTCGGGAGATGCTGTGCTGCAGACTGACACTCCCCCACGTCCGACCCGGACCCCACTGATCACCCTGGCAGCACCCACTGGGAAAACTTTCGTACTGCACCAAGATTATATATTTTTATTTAAAGTCAGGTGGCTGTCACAGGTGCCAAAGCTTATTCCTGAAAGATGCGAAAGGTTGCTCAGTTTAGAACATTTATTATGAACCCCATTCCCATCATGTGAGTGGTAGTGGACGCCATTCCCATCATGTGAGTGGTAGTGGACGCCATTCCCATCATGTGAGTGGTAGTGGACGCCATTCCCATCATGTGAGTGGTAGTGGACGCCATTCCCATCATATGAGTGGCAGTGGACGCCATTCCCATCATGTGAGTGGCAGTGGACGCCATTCATATCATGTGAGTGGTAGTGAATCCTGTAACTATCATATGAGTGCCTCGCGATCATTTGTCCCTCGATAGAATCTTTGGTGAATCAGGTACCTTTGATATCGCTCGCCTTATGCGCTTTTGTTCTCGTATTAGGATCCTCTATGATATCTAGCGCCTTCTGAACATCCTGCAAGTTTGATGGTGCTACAGTCTCCCCGGCTTGGCGCCTTCTTTTTATAATTACTTACTATCTTAAGAGTTATAGTGGCTTACTTACCAGTCCCTGGAGTGGTATTTGATACCTTACCCATCCCTTGAGTGGTAGTGGAAAAGGTTGCAGAGGATAATATAAAAACGACATCAATCAAAGCAAGTTACACAATCCATCCTAAAAAATCAGAGTACTTACGCAACTATTGGTCGCACAACAAAACTGCCAGGGGCCAGATTCACGAAAGCACTTGCGCAAACACTTACGAACGTGTACATCTTTCCTCAATCTTTGACGGCTTTAGTTACATTTATTAAACAGTGTACAAGCATGAAAACTTGCCAATCAACTGTTGTTATTGTTATAAACAGCCTCCTGGTGCTTCGGAGCTCATTAACTGTTTAATAATTGGAAACAAAGCCCTCAAAGATTGAGAAAAGATGTACAGGTTCGTAAGTGTTTGCGTAAGTGCTTTCGTGAATCTGGCCCCTGGACTGTTGTAACCAAAGGTCACGTTTTGAACTATTTGAATATTCCAAATGACAGGACAAAAATTGAAACTGTAACTATACCACATGACATTCCTGTTTTAGGCTAAATAAGCAATCTTAGGCCTAATACATGCCATTTTCTTAGTCCAGATATATATATAATTATAATTTGCCTCTCCTGCACCCAAGAGCCACAGTGGACGGCGGTGGGAAGGTGCCACAACGATCAGAGACAAGACATTAAGCAAACATGAACTGCATTTCCTGACAAATATAATTATTGTAGTTGCTAATGAGAAAAACCGTAGGAGCCGTGAAGAGGATTCGAACCGATGCGGTGTTAATGATAATTTAATAATTTCCACATATTCATTCATATTCTCTTGCCATAATGAATATTTTCGATTAATCAAGAAGGAAATGTTTTTTATTTTATTAGTTTACTAGATCCAGCGGTGCCCGGGTTGGCCCTGTGTCCAGGCGTCTCCAACACACCCTCCAAGGTCACCCCCCGACACTACCCACTCTCTATCTTCCTCCACGCACACACATTCTCCCAATCTCTTCCAACATGCACCCTCTCTGTCACCCCCCATTCCCCATTTCGCCTCATCACTGTAAGCATCTTCATACCTAACCCATCTCCACCCACACAAGCTCTCGGCGTACTCCTCTACCCCTATCACTGTAACCATTTTCACCACACGCTATCAATATCACTGCAATGAAAAGGTAGTAAACAGAACGCAACTCTGTTATCTGAACATTTCTTTTGCATGTCAGTACACTTATATTTAAGTGAATGCTGAACTCTACGTACTTTTAGTTACACATTTCATTTCCACCAATTCCGTGAAGCGAAATCAAAATGAAGAAACGAAGTTTCGGTCCGTCCTGGACCATTATCAAGTGATAATGGTCCAGAACGGACCGAAACGTCGTCGTTTTTTAATTTTCTGATGTGTTGTTTGGTCAAGGAAGCCACAGGGCCCGACCACCCTGAGAGGTTGTCTAAGACTCCAACCACAAGGCAGCGATGCACAAAGCTGTCCCCAAGAGTCTGGTTTCCAACCTTGGCCCAGACAAACAAACAAACGGACTTTCTCTTTTATAGAAAGACGGGGGTATCCTGCGATGCCCAGATCTCTGACTGTATATCTGGCTCTGTCAATCAGTTCTCCTTCCCTTCCATTCTCCCTCCCTTCCTCCTTCCCGTTATCCCTTCCTTCTGTTCTGAACGTACGGGCACACTGGGAAGTTACCGAGGGCCTATATGCTGCAATATTCCTCATGAGAGATTTCTTGGCAGAGTGGATAACTACTCGACCTCTCGCTAGAAAGGTCTGGGATTCAAATCCCTTCTCAAATTATATTTATAATATTGTTTGCATCATTATCCGAAGGTAATGCCGAACAAATTAAAGTCCGGACCATCGACCGTGAAAACTGCTCAGGCTATCAGTGGAATGAGTTAGAAGCAGTTGTGGATAACGATATTCAGACATTTAGAAAATGCTGTTGAAAGAACAGAGTTGACATGCCCCAAAAGACCTGGAGCCCCTCCCCAGGACCTGGAGTCCCTCAGCAGGACCTGGAGTCCCTCCCCAGGACCTGGAGCCCCTCCCCAGGACCTGGGACCCCTCCCCTGGACCTAGAAACTGTCCCCAGGACCTAGAAACTGTCCCCAGGACCTGGAGCCCCTCAGCAGGACCTGGAGCCTCCCCAGCAGACACAGGGAAGCACACGCAGGTAAGGTCTGCGACGTAGCGTCTCTTATTACCGGTCACGTGGCCAGCCCTGTGCTTGAACGGGCGGGGGAGGGGGGGGGGCGATGAACTGGTCGGGGAGGCGTGAGGGGGTGTGGCTGGGGACTGGTGAGGAGGTCGTCTGGGGACTGGTGACGGGTCGTGTGGTGACTGGTGACTGGTGAAGGGTCGTGTGGTGACTGGTGAAGGGGTCGTGTGGTGACTGGTGAAGGGTCGTGTGGTGACTGGTGAAGGGGTCGTGTGGTGACTGGTGAGGGGTCGTGTGGTGACTGGTGAGGGGTCGTGTGGAGACTGGTGAAGGGTCGTGTGGTGACTGGTGACGGGTCGTGTGGTGACTGGTGAGGGGTCGTGTGGTGACTGGTGACGGGTCGTGTGGAGACTGGTGAGGGGTCGTGTGGTGACTGGTGAGGGGTCGTGTGGTGACTGGTGAGGGGTCGTGTGGTGACTGGTGAAGGGGTCGTGTGGTGACTGGTGAAGGGGTCGTGTGGTGACTGGTGAGGGGGTCGTGTGGGGACTGGTGAGGGGTCGTGTGGTGACTGGTGAGGGGTCGTGTGGTGACTGGTGAAGGGGTCGTGTGGTGACTGGTGAAGGGGTCGTGTGGTGACTGGTGAGGGGGTCGTGTGGGGACTGGTGAGGGGTCGTGTGGTGACTGGTGAGGGGTCGTGTGGTGACTGGTGAAGGGGTCGTGTGGTGACTGGTGAAGGGGTCGTGTGGTGACTGGTGAGGGGGTCGTGTGGGGACTGGTGAGGGGTCTCCCCGTGCAAGGTACGATAATTTCCCTACAGCCCATTTGCCGTATCCGGCTCATTTGTCTCCATCTTCCACTTGTGTCCTTTTGCCTTACTTTCTCTCAATTTAAAGAGGTTGTCCTTATTCATCTTGTGAATTCCACACAGTATCACTTGTACGGTAGAGCGACAGTTTCGCTTCTTACAGGGCGGTGTTCAATCCCCGACCGTCCAAGTGGTTGGGCACCATTCCTTCCCCAACCTCCCCCTTCCCCGTCCCATCCCAAATCCTTATCCTGACTCCTTCAAAGTGCTATATAGGCATAATGGCTTAGCGCTTTCTCCTGATAGTATCTTCATTACTATCTTCGCTTCCCTTCCTCTCAGTATCTTGTATGTTGTTATCATGTCTCCTCTGCTTTGTCTTTCCCCTAAGGTTGTACTCTGTAAGGGTGCAGCATTCATAAAGGTATATTATAATATAATATATTATACTATATATATTTTATATATTATAATATGTAGTATAGGGGGAGCATGGGTGAACATGTGTGTAAGTGGGAGGGAGCATGGGTGAACATGTGTGTAAGTGGGAGGGAGCATGGGTGAACATGTGTGTAAGTGGGAGGGAGCATGGGTGAACGTGTGTGTAAGTGGGAGGGAGCATGGGTGAACATGTGTGTAAGTGGGAGGGAGCATGGGTGAACGTGTGTGTAAGTGGGAGGGAGCATGGGTGAACATGTGTGTAAGTGGGAGGGAGCATGGGTGAACGTGTGTGTAAGTGGGAGGGAGTATGGGTGAACATGTGTGTAAGTGGGAGGGAGCATGGGTGAACATGTGTGTAAGTGGGAGGGAGCATGGGTGAACATGTGTGTAAGTGGGAGGGAGCATGGGTGAACATGTGTGTAAGTGGGAGGGAGCATGGGTGAACATGTGTGTAAGTGGGAGGGAGCATGGGTGAACATGTGTGTAAGTGGGAGGGAGCATGGGTGAACATGTGCGTAATCACGTGGCTGGCGTCCCGCTGTCACTGCCTGGTCGAGATCGTCGTACATGAGGCATGCGGCGGAATACACGTTCCGGTCAGCGCTGTCAGACGTACGAGCCTCTTCCTGAGGAAGCCATGTGCTTCTCCCGGTGCCTCGATGCCCCCCCCCCCCCTCCCCGCCTTCTAATTTCCTCTCTCTCTTCAACCCTTCCAAAGTACATGTCATTTCCCAACCACCCCAGTCTCACCACTCCTATTGGGTAAATACTGTCGGGTATAACCACTCCTTCCCTTATCTCGAACTTGATGTGTGCAAATCTTAATATATATTCTCAAGGTGCTATGTATAGCTCTCATCCGCAATCTCTGGAATGGCACCGTTTTCTCTCAAACTGCCCGAAACGTTAGGCGCGTTGGCGGTTTGGCATGAATGAAAAAAATACCAATATTATGTAATCTCACAATATTCTTCTAATCAATTATTAATTATTAGTAGTATTAAGTGATGCTCATAAACTATCACTGACGCTCTTACCAGTTTCTGTTATCTTGATGCTGCATTTATATACAGTAGTTAATTTCGGCTCTCTCTCTCTCTCTCTC